GGAGACCTGGCCCAACTTAGCCAGCGATTCCCCTGCCAGGTCTCAGGAGGTGGGCTATGGTCTCAGCCAGGGCTGGGTATGCTCCCCGGGGAGCTGTCCCACTGGGGGTCAGGGGCCCTGAGCAGAGCGGGCACTGAGGCACCCACACAAGAAGGAAGCACACGGGGGTACCCGTACTGCAGCTGAGCACATCAACTCAGCTGGTTGGCAGAGCCCCCTTCTCCCAGCCCCCACTCCTCCCTCTGCTGGCTGCAGCTCTTCACCTGGGAGGGTCTGGGCACTGGTGGCTCTCGCCCCAGGCCATGCCGGACGAGGGCGTATGTCAGGCTCCCCTGGGTCAGTCCACCACACCCCAGAGGGTGCCGGAAGCATCGCGTGGCTGGGACCATCCTCAGTCTGTGTTGTCCACTCTGGGCTTCTTGTCCACCCAACCTGGCTTCCGTGTCTACAGGGAGGCAGTGGGCCAGCCCCACACTGCAGTCCGTGTTGGGGGATGAGCTCCACAGCACCCCTTTCTCTCATCCTCCCTATGCAGACCTCAGAGACAGGGTTCTGAGTGAGCCCCTCAAGCACTCCGACTTCTTCAACGTCAAGGAATTGTTTTCCGTCAGAAGCCTCTTTGATGCGCGGGTGCACCTGGGCCACAAAGCTGGGTGCCGGCACAGGTACGGGGATGGCCAGCGGGGAACCCCAGGACCCTTGGCCCAATAGTTTTCCTTCGACTGGAGTTCAGAGTCCTGGGGCCAGGCTAGCACTTCTTCAGCCAGGGGCTGGGGTTGGCGCGGGAGCGGCCGCTCTCGCTGCCTTTCCCCCCAGGAAAATGGGGTGGTGGGAGGACCCTCTGCGGCCCAGATCCCGCCCTGTCCACCAGCTTCCAGCTTCGGGACTCTAGCGTCCCTGACCTATCCCATACCCGGCCCCAAACCCTAACTATGCCACGCCCCCTGACCTCCCTGGGCGCCGGTGGTCCATGCAACCCACCTCCCAACCCTCGGTGGTGACCACGCTTCTTCGCGGTTCCCTCCCGGGACAGGGACCCCTCCCGCGGTCCCCACCCGGCCACAAAGCCACACCCCCTGCCTGGGTCCCTGACCCGATTCCAACCCCACTGCCAGGCCGTGCCCGAGGTCCCTGTCTCTGACCCCGTCCTGGACCTGGGTTTCGTCCCACGGTCTCCTCCCATCGTGA